ATACAAACCCATGTAGGTTTGTGGAAGGCACACACAAAAGAGATATCAACATGGCCTAAGCAAATCAGTTTACAAGTTCTAGTGAACATTCACAGAATTTGTTTATAGCATTCAACCAGTTCTCCATAGGCCTGAGCTAAAATTAAGGCTATGTCTACACTCGCGGCTTCTTGCGTGAGTAATATGCAAATGAGGCTAAACGTGGAATATTGCTGAGCCTTATTTGCATACCTAATGAGCCCCTATTTTTTTTCAGAAGAGGCTCTTGCGCAAGAAGGAGTGTCTATACTGCCCCTTCTTGCACAAGAAAAACCCTCTTGCGCAATGCCCTTCTTCCTGAAAAGTAATAGGTGTAACGGCGTTGCGCAAGAGGGTTTTTCGTGGCAGTGTAGACGCTCCTTCGTGCGCAAGAGCCTCTTCTGAAAAAAAATAGGGGCTCATTAGGTATGCAAATAAGGCTCAGCAATATTCCACGTTTAGCCTCATTTGCATATTACTCACGCAAGAAGCTGCAGGTGTAGACATAGCCTAATTGTCTTTAATGGGATTGGATCAGGCATCATGTGAGCAAATGGGTCCACTCTTGTATATGTGTATTTTATTTTTACTCTATAGCACCTGTCACATACCTCCATTAATTTTATTTTATAGTAACCATTGCCCATCACCATAGTATATAAATATATAATCTATGCTGTAGCCAAGTAATTGCCTGTTTTTTTTCTAATAAGGAGCATTGTACTGGTGACTCCAGGACCAGAGAATTCTGAGTGTTAATTAGCCTTTGAGAAAATAAAATCCCTGCTGGGTATTTAACCCACATTAGTTTGGTTTTAATTTACAGTGTCTGGGTCTGAGTCTGTTATTAGAAACCCTTACAATTCAATAGGATTTGTCTGAACTACCAAAAGGGTTATGGAAACAATCTTCATAATGTCATTTCTATGAGACTGAACAGTCTTGGAGCATGAAGGGGATTACTGGACACGTTAATTTGCTTAGAGCTAACAGATTTTCCTTTCCCCCATTGATAGCTCATTTTAATTGTAAAAAGATCTTAGCCTAAGTTCTAATCAAGCATATGACTGACAAAGTTATCACTTAGAGACCAGTGTTAGACACTAACTGCCTCCAGCAGATTAACTAGGGCACCAGTTACAGCAGAAGGCAGCATGCAGAAAACAAAGGCAACTGAAAGTATGCATAATATAAACACATCTTTGTTTTCTATAGGCATGAAGTGCATTGTCAGGGTGTCATATTGGATATTTTCCAAAATGCTGTTCAAGGATGATAGCCTGGAAATTACCTACAGTCCTGAATCAGTGGTTCTCAGCCATGGTACACATACCCCTAGGGGTATAAATAAGTCTTTCGGGGGATTCATCAACTCATCTAGATATGTGCCTACTTTTATAACGGGCTACATAAAAAGCACTAGTATATCAATACAAACTAAAATTTCATACAGTGACTTGTTTCTACTGCTCTATATATTAGGCACTGAAATGTAAGCACGATATTTATATTCCAGCTGAATTATTGTATAATTATATGGTAACGATGAGAAAGTGAGCAATTTTGCAGGAATAGTGAGCTGTGACACTTTTGTATGTTCATGTCTAATTTTTGTAAGCAAGTAGTTTTAAAGTGATGTGAAACTAGGGGCTAGGCAAGACAAATCAGCCTCCTGAAAATAGTATGGTAATCTGCAAAGGTTGACAGCTACTGTCCTGAAATACAAGGGTTGTTAGTTTGCTATCAATACAATCATGTTTTCTCATGGCAAAGGGAAAATCCGAAGAAGAAAAAGTAGAAAAGAAAATCAAACACCGATTTGTCTGTGTAAAAGCTAGCCACACTGCAGCTACACTTCATTATTAACATAGAGCATTCTTAACTATTCTGTATACAGCTCTGCAGATCTGGTTTAGCATAAATCCAATAATATATGCAGCATCTGGTAGATGACAATCTGTCATATCCAACAATAAAGTCACAGCATCATGTGTATTCTTATGCAGCTGTATAGTCTGATCGGTGAGGAACAAGACTGCAAACATATCACAGAACGTGCAGACTCCCACTAAAGACTTGGCCTTCTTTCACTCAGTTTTTTGCATCTGTCTTCCTCAAAGAGTTTATAGCCTTTGTTGATATTTGGTCGGCATTCAGAGCCATCCTTTGAAGTTTAAGTTGCATAATGTGAGATTCTGCTTAATTGATGACCTCTCCTGCGCTTTGAGTTTCTGATCTCTACAGAAAACTTTTTGGGGGGAGTCTCTCATCACCTGTTCTGATAATATGTCCATCTAAGATGAGCTTTGATTATCATTGCATTGATGCTGGCTGTTTTGTTTTTTTAAAGAAAGTCAATGTTTAAGACTTTGCCTTATCAGGGGATCTTCAGAATAGAGAGAAAATTTTTCATGTGAAATTTTTCAAGTTGCTCAAAGTGTCTATAGTAAACCATCCATATTTCACACCCATATAAAAGGGATGCTATCACTGCTGAATTGAATAATCCAGCAGTGATAAGCACTGGAACAAATTGTCTAGGGAGGTCATAGAATCTTCATTACTGGATATTTTTAAGAGCAGGTTAGACAAACACCTATCAGAGATGATCTAGATCAGTGGTTCCCAAACTTTTCGGCTTCACGCCGCCTTTTTGATTTTTGAGAAACCCTCGCGTCCCCCTCCCCCCCAAATAGCAGCAAAACTTGTTGAGAA